ATAAACAAAGAGTTACAATAGTCCAAGCGTGAGGAAATAAATGCATGTATAGCAATCTCCAGTTCAGAGATAAAACAGGGCTTAACTTAGCCACATTCCTTAAATGATAAAAACAAGACAGAACCAGAGAATTCAGGTGCCCGTCCAATGTGAGAGTCGAGTCAAAAGTGACACCTAGATAGACCACGTAGATATAGATATGAGGAGAACCACTCTAAGGCAGTTCCAGATACACCAACCCAATGTTTAAGACTTTCAAGGAGGATGTGGTGGAAACAGTGTCAAAAGCCGATGTGAGGTCCAAAAAATTAGCACAAATAATTCAAGTGAATTCAAATTATACGTTTTCTTTATTGCATTTATCATGTTCCAGTTGTTTTTTGTTCACTGCTAATAAACACGCATTCAGTAAATATAGTTGTTGAAAGCATTTCTGTGTTTACTTTTCATTTTAAACAAGTTAAATCTGATTACAGATGACCTAAAATCCACTCTGGGTACAACCTGCACAGGTCAGACCGGGCAGGTGGAAGGAATTTATGGATGGATGATTACAGACAGACACAGCATTACAGAGACAGGAAATATTCCCCTCCTCTTCTTTAAAATGAGAAATACAGCTTGTTGTTCTGACACTGGTTTCGGATCAGATACTTTATGTTGACAAACACCCAAAACCACGGTATCAGCTTCGGACTGAAACAGTAAACGTTTCTTCAGGTTTCTTCAGTGAGGTGTTTGTGTGAAGTGTGAGAAAGAGCTGCCCTTACTTTCATCTGATCGTAAGATGGTGTCTTACTAACCACAACTTACTGTGTGGACGCTGCTAAGCTGCTATTTCGGGTATAGAAAAAAAGAAGATGAAGAATACAGCGTCACTCAGTTTCAGGCGGTATCACTCACCACTAAGGTTGGGCGATTGAATGAATATATCCACTATCGACGATTGTTAAAGGGTGATTTATTTATTTATTTGCCGATGAGTAAGTTTGCTAATAATGTTGGTTGAAGCTAAGAGAAGCAATCAATGGAAAAAATTAGTGCTGTTTTAATGGCACCTTCTTCCAGCTGCGAACCAATGCACCCTCCTCAGACTGCACCCAAATGCAGCAGCAATACATGCACTCAAACTCATAACAGAAAGAAAGAAAGGCAGTTCAGAAAAAAAACAAAACATTTTATTTAAATACAAAAACCACAATGGTGGGGAGGGAAACAAAGAGAAACTGGTTTCCTTTTTCCACTACAACTGTGTTTACAGGCTGTTCCAGTGTTTCTGTGTCTTACACACTTGACCAAACAACAAATACAAAATTAAACAAAAAGTAAGTTAAAAATCAAAATGTCTCTTCCAGCGAACATAAAAGATAAATCTCTGAGGTAATGCTGAGTCTTTTTTGCAATTTGGCGCATCTCAATTAGATAAATAAAGTATCCAAAAGTAGCTATTTTAATACTGAAACAAACAAAAAAGAAGGTAAAAT